TTGTTTGTTTTGATAATCATATCATATTTGCCTCATTATAATAAGTAGGGAAATGTCCACTTGTATTTTCTGGAAGAAAGTTATCTAAGATTAGTAGTATTTCTTCCTTAACTGTTGCATTCCAATGTACCTGGATCTATGTTTTTCCTTGCAGGAAAATGTACATTATAGAATATATATTTAATATCTATTGAACACCTCCAATTTTCTATTCTTTATGTCAGTTGAATAATTTTTATTTCATTTTTTGATAAAAGTTGTCAAAGTTATTGTCTTAAACACTTTCACAGTGTTATTCTCATTCCCCTTCTAAATTTGTAGAAGGTACATTACCATCCTCTCTCTCATTCTAGTTGCTAATTTAGGCCCCTTCATTTTTCCCTTATCATTCTGACTAATTAGTCATAAATTTTATTGATATTTTAAAAGAAGCACCTTCGGGTATTGTTAATTTTCCTTGTGTCATTAACATTCCTACTTTATTTATTTCTATTCTCAAGCTCACTGTTTCTTTTTCTGGTTTCTAGAGATTGCTTCAATCTTCTCTTGCTGATTTCTTAATTTGGTTATATAAGGATACTATACTTTTAATTTTGTTAATGCATAGCTATTTCCCGATATAATTTTGTTATTGATTTATACTTTATTTATTGCCATTAAAGAGTGTACTTTGTAATAAGGAAACCTTTGAAAATGATTGAAAAAAGTTTTTAATGGCCCAGTGTATATTCTTCCATTAAAAATCTATCATGTGTCCTTGTAAAACATCTGTATTCTGTTGGTGCGGCTCTCTACAATGGCTTCATTCCTTGAAGCTAGTTGGCTCACTTCTTAAATCTTTCATGTACTTCATGATCTTTTTGTCCTCTTGGCATTTCAATAAAGGAGAATAGTGGTAAATAATCCACCATCCTCCTCGAACGTGACTGTGTCTGCTTTTTGTTAACCCTGATAAGGTTTGCTTCATGTGTTTTTAAGCTCTGTAATAAGTAGACTCATACTTAAAACTGGATGAATGTATCTATTTTATCTTTAGTAAATGTCCCTTCTTATTCAGGTAATATTTATGGTCATGGGATTTTACTTCAAAGTACTTTTACGGCTATTTCCAATATCTTAAGGCATGATTCTTATACTGTCTCTCCTTATCATCCTGCTGATGAATTTCTTGTGTATTTGTAATCAAAGTGCTTTCCTTCTGCATAGTACATAGTTGAATTTTAAAACTTTATGTGACAATCTTCTCCTTTTCTTTGTCAGGTTTCACTGATTCCTTTCTATCACAGTGATTGATTTTGTAGGGTTTGTTTGTATAATCTTGAGTTTGCTTTTTCTGTTTGGTGAAATGTACTTTTATACTGTCATACTAAGACTTTATTTGTATTCATATTATTCCTTTTGTACATTGTTGTTTGTGAGATCTCGCTGTTGCAGAGATTTGAACTGGAGTTCTTTACTTATCAGGGTCATCATTTGAAGTCCTGCTGCGTCACTCCATCTGTAAGGGAAGGTGTTTCCACTTTTCATATCTCACCATCTGAGCCACTATCATTACAAATTTTCCTTCTTCATGTGTTATATATCCCATAATACGTTGTTGTTATTACATCAATTTCTAAATATATTAATAAATAAGCAAAATGCCCTTTAATTTCATTCATATTTAATACTTCTACATGATTCATTACTTTTGTGCATCTGTCTTTCATCTGAAGATTTTCTCATTATTTTTGTCATGAAGTTGTGCTGCTGGTGAAGTCTTGCAGTTCTACTTAATATTGTTCTTATAGTGTGGGATGCATAATTATAAATTGGAGTGTATTTTCTGAGAACTTAGGCATGACATTCTGCTTCCATTTACCATATATTATTTCTGATGATTTTTTTTTTTTTTTTGTACCAGAGATTGAACTCAGTGGCACTAGGACACTAAGCCACATCTCCAGCCCTATTTTGTATTTTATTTAGAGATAGGGTCTCACTGTGTTGCTTAATGCCTCACTTTTACTAAAGCAGGCTTTGAATTCATGATACTCCTGCTTCAGCCTCCCAGGCTGCTATCACACCCAGATCTGATGAACATTTAACAAACATTATTATTGTTTGCTGTATTCAACAGTGATTTTTAAGATATATATATATATATATATATATATATATATATATATATATATATAATTTTAGTATTTTACAAGAGCATAATTGGGTTGATTTTGTTGCTATTGGGGGCGGCTTGGTGTTTACTGAGGTTATTATATTTTTTCTTTTTCAATGTGATAATGTAAGGCATATTTTAAAAATAATTGGCCATTTTAAAAATGTTTTTGACACTATCACTCTTTTCTTGCAATTCCAATTATACATATGCTATGCCACATGATATTGTTCCAAAAGATATTGAAATCCTCTTTATTTTTAAAAATTATTTGTGTACTGTTAGTTTTATCACTGTAATTTAGTTTGATTGGTTCCTACTGAATTGTCCTCATAACCAAAGGTATTTTCTTCTGCACTATTCAACCTTCTGATAAAAATTGTCCTGTAATATTTTTTTCAAATAACATATTATTAAATTTTGGGGATTACTTTTAGTTTTTTTAGAGTTTATATTTCTTTATTGTTTCACACTGTGGTTACTGAAATATTCAATTTGGGCAATAGTTATCAAAAACTAAAAAAAAATCCTTAAGAGAAAGTTTACTATGAAATTTATAACAAATGATTCCTCTGATGTGTATATCATCTGCTAATACATATATAGAGAAAAAAAAAAACCATCTCCCACTACAGTAAAAACAAGATATGAAAAAAAAAAATTCTAGGCAATTTCAGCCACTGGATGTCATGCAATAAGAAATGTAAAACATGAGTTATGATTATGTTTAACAAGTATTTTAAATTGTATCGAAGAAAGTCACTAGAAATTTATAGAGAATTCACAAGATAAAGAACCATATCTGATCACACATGGGAATACACTTAGCAATATCCAGAAGGTGAGGAACAATATAGGGACCAAAGACTATATCACATAAATGGAAAGGAAAATGAAAAATAGAAAGAGGAAACTGAGGTAACAATAAGATAACAAATATCTCAGCACACCATATTGTGTGAATATATTTGAAATATGATTCAAAGATGTTTGAAAATTTTTAATTTAAATACTCCATGCATATTTGATTGTGTCGAAATCTTAATATTAGCTTTAAGTATCCAATTTTGATTTTTAGAGGTGCATACACATACACATGTATCACGTAAGCTCAAGTATAGTGTGTCTGGTGTGGTTACGATGATGTGACATCTGAAATCTGTTTTACTCTGAGGAAGTGGTGTATGTATGCATGACATGAGGTTGGCCCTGTGCTGGTAATTATTGTAGCTGTACAGGGATGCACAGTGGTTCATTATGTTATTTTCTCTATTTTTAGTTGTAGGAGAAGGTTACAATATAATGTTAACAGAAATATCACTTTGTCAAATAAGACAAATACTTTCATATCACCCCGAGTGATAGTTTACCAAACTTATGCAAAATATCTTTTTTATTAAGTAAACTGTATTTGTTACAAATGATTATTTACTAGCTATCAAAATATATTTTTCACTAATATTCAAAAAATAGACTTTTTAAGTACTTAAAATATTCAATGTAAGGATAAAATTCATCCTTAATTTTCATTTCAACTGAATTTCTTCATGACCTTCATTAAGTAAACAAGTAACAAAAAATACATCCACTTGAAGGGATTACAGAGGGAACATAGAATCCCTGTGTTCTTTCTTAATTAAGTGTTTTTTAACAACCTTTCTTAACAAGAGCCAAAGACCCCAAACTCTCTCAGGAATCATTAAAAAAACACCTACAGAATATTCAAAACAAGATCATGCTGAAATACTTCTAAGCCAGGATGTATGGCTTTCCTGATGAGTTCATGAAAGTGAATGCTACTGTGGATCTCACCAAATTTTCCTTCCTGGTGGCTAAAGAAAGAAACCCCACATAGTTTGACGGAATCCTAAATAGAGGAGGGAAATATGAAGTTATTCAATTACATATAAGGATGAGCATTACCAATTATGAAAGAGACAGTTTGTAACATCAGCTTCCATTCAACAATAGGTTTTGAATGAAAAACTCAGTAGGCTGCGTTTTTGATTTTACTATTTCATTTCATAGCTATCATACATATCATAAACCATGAGCCATTTTACCCTGGCATCACATTTTGTACTTAATCCTAAAAAATGTCTTTTTTTTGTATTCAAAGAGAAATAATTTTACCAAATCTTTCAAAATATACAAGGGTAAATATCCTGCACAGGCTTTCTAGTTTGGATGTTTTATAGTTTAACTTATTATTACATTTCTTGGGTTTTAAGCTTAATTATTACTTTGCCTATTTCATTAACTACATAAAAACATCATAATTTTCAAAACTGGAAGATAAATCTTATTTATATTGCATGAAAAGATGATAAATACATGCCTCGGTTTTTACTCATGACTTGATGATTGCTTTAAGGGAATAGTATGAATTTTGCTGAGATGGCTAGAAGGACATAAGTAAATTAAATAATATTTTAAAACTCTCTCTCTATGTCATCTTGTCAGTCAAAGAGATAGCTAAGAGTAACTTTTCAACCTTCAGGCGGATATGTGATTGCAGTTTACAACAAGTGTTCCTTGAGTAGAAACTTATAATTATTGCAATAGGATTATTGTTGGACTACAAAATATAATTCACTAGCTTAATCAAAGGATAAATTGAATGCATATTTTATTCCATTTCTCAAAGATGCAAAAGCTGTAACCTGTCTTTAGTAATTATGTGAGAAAATGTTATTTCTTAAATGACAAATTTTGTTTTGTTTCTATGCTTTAGGGATACAAAAGATATTTAAGAGAAAAAAAGACGATAAAGAAGCACAGGATTTTTGTGGGCTACACACTCTGTCCTTGGAAGAGTGACACTGGTACCCAAGGAGACATTGCAATGCACGTTTGCTGGCTGCTGCCTTGTGTGCTGGGGATCCCCTGCCTCTGGCCTGGCTTTGCAGTGGCAGGAGACTCTAGCAGAGAGACTGATGAAAAATGGGCAGACTCTCATTGGAGAGTGAAGCGAGGCTGGGTGTGGAACCAATTCTTTGTACCAGAGGAAATGAATGGAAGTTATCACATTGGACGGGTACTTACTTTCTGAGAGTCTTCCAGTTCATGGTTTTGGTGTTTGCTGAGTTCTGCATTTTTCTCAGTGGAACCACTAGAAAACCTCAAACATGAACATTATTAATTATTTAGAATTTTCAAGCACCTGAACATCACTAAAAACTTGAGTTCTGGGTTCAAATTTCACTCTAGTCTCCTACATGAAAAGGCTACTCATTGATCAATAGCTAGAAATTCAGTGGTGCAATTTTTGGTAATAAATCAAAGCAGACTCAATGAGTCAAATATCATCTACCAACATTTTTTTTGCCTGATTTTTCTGTTATGCTAAATAGCTATTGATTTATCCCTCCTTCATTTTTAATGAAGCAGTTTAATACTATATCCTTTTGCAGCCAAGGAGTGTCAGAAGCCCACACACTTCATTTGATTAGTGAAGTTGAAGTGCAAAGAATAGTTATTTTCACCTTCTTAGAAGAATATATTTTAAGAAAATGTCCTTAATGAGACAGAACACCTCCAATTTATGTTTTTGGTTTTGATTATTATTTGGTTTTCTTTAAACACAGATAATTACAATATCATGTCCTTTTCCATAAGTTCTTTCTCTAGATGAATGAACTGAAATGTTTAACCGCTAATTAACTGGCACTAAAATTTAATTGGGCCCAAAGGGTGAAGCACTCAAAATTCATTAACTGTCTTCTAGCCCATTCAGGGGAGCCTCAGCATTAGTGTGGTATCTGGATTCCATCTAAGTACCTCTATCCTATCAGCCACAGGCACAGGAGTACCTTCAACCACAGGCTTAGATTAGGATCTTAGGCAAACAGGCTTCAGAACACTACTGTGTGTCCCTGTTTGTCTCCCACAGGGTCCTCCTTACCCTTTTAATTCTCCACAATGTCTGCAGGTAAATCACATGCCCTGTGGCACAAATAGGGTCCATCTTAAGGGGCTGCTAATGAACTGAGTCTATCTAGCTCCATTTAGAGTGATCTCCAGAATGACTTAAACTCTTCTGTCACTGAAGAGGGTGACAGGCAAATCCTGTTCAGTGGCTTTTCGTAAATAAGGTACTTAACTGTACCAATGTGACAGGAACAAAGACTATCTCCTTGGCTGTCACATTTCCTACTCTGTTTCTGCCACCTACACCAGCCTCTTGTTTCCTCATCTCACAGAATGATTGGCTTTGCCTGTTCTTTTCTTTCTATAACAAACATCCATGAAAATACTTGTTTTTCCTCTAAACAATCTCATGATTCACATTACACAGAGATAACTGGTTTGGAAGAAACTTTGGGGGATGTTTAGGTGTATGCAACTGAAGAGCTGCTGGTAAGATGTGTCCCACATAACTGCTTTTTGATACATTCATTTAAAAAAAATAAAAATTGGAAAGGCAGTTATGTAAAAAAAATAATGTGACATTGTTTGGTCAAATATTTAACAGCTGCTTAATTGAGAAAATATTTTAAAATAAAAATATAGTAAATTTCAAAATATGTACTATAGTGCATGAGATCAAAATGAGTTTAACACATGCATTTTGTAACATTTAGAGGCAAGTGTTCAGTAAAACAGTTTTGATGATTTACCACTTAAAATTGTTCTTTATGGGCAGGTATGCTGGCACTTTCCTGTAATCCCAGCACTCCAGAGGCTGAGGCAGGAGGATCTTGAGTTCAAAGCAAGCCTTAGTAACAGTGAGGCACTAAAGCAACTCAGTGAAACCCTGTCTCTAAATAAAATACAAAATAAGACTGGGGATGTGGCTCAGCGATTGAGTGCCGCTATGTTCAATCCCCAGTACCAAAATAAAAAAAAAAAGAAAAGAAAAAAATGTGTCTTTAAAAATGTTGACCTCCTTGGTCTTTGAAATTTATAATTTAAATAAGCTTGATATACTCCTATTCTTTACTGAATTTAATTTACCTTCATTCAATATTGAACAAATTTTAAAACTACATTGAAGTGATATCATTTTAAAAACATGGTCTATTCATTGATCATTTGACATATTCATTAGAAAATATATTAATTATTCTTAATTTCATAACCTCATGACATAGAAAATCTCTTCTCTTTATAAATAATTAAGGACTATCAAACTAAAAAAGCTATAACCATAACATCAAGTTGGATGTTAGTTTTCCCAAATCTGTTTCTTCAAGTATGTAGCAATGATAATACAGATTAAAACAACAACAATAAGAGCAACAACAACAATAATACTATATTATTGTTATTTGGGGTATGTTTAGAATTTCTCCACAATAGCATAGAAAAGTTATGAGTTAGTGAGGAATAAAAACTTTTAACTGCAGCAATCAGACAAGTTGTAATTGGTTTAGGATGGCATTTCATGGTTATCTTTGTATTTTCATAGGAAGTCTTCCTTTGAAGAAGAGTATATTCATGAATGGTGAATCAAGAAAACACATTTGTAATAACAAAGGCATCATTTATGTACAAAAGGAGAATTATTTATGTAGATTTAATTATGATAAACCAGACAGCCAATTTAACACATCAATATCAAAATGACATCTTTTGACATATAAATTTTAAAATCTAAATTACTCATCAAAACTATGAATGAGCAATTTTTCACAAAATAAAAAAATAAGCACAAGAAGAAAAGTGTATGTTTAAAAATCAAGTAAAATGTGTTAGAAAGAGTGGGCATTTTCTAGCTTAAAATTAAAGATTTGAAAGCATGTTATATAATTATTATCATGGGTGAATCTTGGAATTCACAGTCCTGTGCCAAATCATAAAACTTCCCAGAAACCTGAGACTCTGGGTAATTCTTTAAAATTTTCTGTCTTTGCTTCTGCATAGAAAAGATTGAGTTCATCAGTATTATGTAACTTGTAATGTTATAATTATTTGTGATCATAGATATAAGTAAAATTTTCTCTAGGTTCCAACCAAATATAAATATTTGAGGCTTTGGTTTTAGTGACCAAGGATGTAACCATAGAACAAACATGGACCAACTATGCTGTGAATAATTTATGAAAGAGGCTTTGTTTTTCAGTAATAATATATTACTAGAATTGTCTATGTAGAAGAATCAAATTTCTGTATTTCTTTATATTAAAAAATTAACTCTCTTTCTGATGGTTGATATTAAATTTGAAATTAATGTGTGAATTAAAATAATATAGGAATTAAATAGAATTATTAACTCAAGGAATGATTAACACAAAAGAAAATGAATTCTTAAAATGGATTTTTCATTTTGAGCCTATCTGGAAACTCAGTTGTACCTGTTTGTACTTACAGCTAAGATCTGACTTAGACAATGGAAACAACTCTTTTCAATACAAGCTTTGGGGAGATGGAGCTGGAAGTCTTTTCACCATTGACAACAGAACAGGTGACCTATATGCCATACAGAAGCTCGATAGAGAGGAACGGTCCCTCTACACTCTGAGAGCCCAGGTAATAGACACCACCACTGGAAGGGCTGTGGAGCCTGAGTCTGAGTTTGTCATCAGAGTTTCGGATATCAATGACAATGAACCAAAATTCCTAGATGAACCTTATGAGGCCATTGTCCCAGAGATGTCTCCAGAAGGTATTGCATATTAATTTACATCAAAGATATTTTAACAATGACAACAAATTTTAAATTTTTGAGCATATGTTTTGGAAGTGGATTATCTAAGTATTACATTAATACTTCCTTCTATGAACATATTTAAGTGAAATATTTTTTTAAAAACTAGTCTATGGTAAAAAATGTTTTGTTTTTTTTTTAAATGGTACTGTGCATTAATAAATTACCTGTGTTATTAAATTTGTCTCATTCTGGAAAGTAGTAAAAAAGTTCAAACATGTTTATTTGAGCAATTAATAAAATTCTGCAGGATATGTATATAGAATAAAGAAAGCCAATTTATAAAACAAGAGCTACTATTGACATCAAAACCAAGGAATGTAAAGACTAAAAATGAAGCAAAGTGGTAGAAAACCCCTGTGCAACTATTTCAAGTTTCTTTTAAAGTCCAATGCTATTGTTACTAATGATTTAAATATGAAATATAAAGAACAGGGTGATTTCCATAAGATATAGGAATTTATTGCCTTGAAAACTGGAAATGTTTTTCTAGTAGGGGAAAAGCTATGTTTATGCAAAGATTTTCCCTTAATTTAATCAGTGAAAATACTTTAAAAGCACAATAAATAATATAATTTAATTCAAATATTTACTTAACTTTGACAAATATGATTCCATCATGATCATTTAAAATGATGCTAACATGTTTTAAAACTGCTTTACCTAAATATGTGATTCATTATCCAATGATTCCAAAAATATATATTCTTTCATATAGTTTTCTGATTTCTTATATTTTAATATTCTAGGTAGAAATTCAAAGATATCTTTCTACATCCTTTAGAATATAAGTATTTTAACTAGTGTGTAAACAAATCAAGCTGTGAAATATGTATCCAAATTGTTGTTAGATATTAAAAATTATTTTAAATACTTCAATTTTGTTTGCTAAGCAAAGGAATAGTTCCTTGCCTTCTCTTCCTCTCTGTCTTGCTTGGCTCCTCTTCGCCTCCTTATTCCTCTCAACCTTCTCCTTCTTCTTCCTTCATCTTCTAACTTCTCCTTCTTTCTCATCAAGCATATCTTACATACTCATGTACTAGGAGCTTTTCTGTAAAACTGAGAATAGAATTGGAAAGAACACACAGAAATTAATTTCTAACATGGATTATATTTTAATTCCGTACACAAACAAGAAATAGCTAATTTTAAGCAAGATTATAATCAACAAGATGTGTTATGAAAATGCAAAGTGTAAATGATTGATGATGATGAATTGCATGGAGAAATAGGGGGCACATTAAAAGGTGGGTTTTAAAGTGTGTGATGCAAAAAGGCCAGCCACACCTTATCCCAGGAAGATTTCCATAGCAGAGTGATGAAGACTGTTTGTAGCAGTGTGTGAGTCATTGACATATGGCAATGATGTAGGTCATAACTGAGATCCTTTTAGCAGAGAATGCAGCAGCTAAGGAGCTCAAAAGAACCCAGGCTGACTCCACTGCTAAGCAAAATGGGGTGGCTGGCAAATTAGAAAGAGCAGATTTGGCTGGTGACATAGGAAGAAGAGAAAAACATGAAGTATTTTTAAAAGCAGGTGTTGTTCAGAGTTGAATGGTGCACTTACAAGGGGATTATTTTGAATATATTATAGTTTTGATAATATGGTATCACTGCAGTTTAACTGTGGCTTCCAAGAGACTCCCAAATCATGGTTTAGTGCAGGCACTATCTAACTGCCATACACATCTTGTGCACTCCTTTTTGAGGTCCATGCACAAATCTTCTAGTCAATTTGCATAGATCATGACGTCTTATGAAAGTGCCAGTCAGGATTCAGGCTGCACATGGAGTCATAGTAACACCACTGAGCACTTTTTTATACCTCCCTGGAGGCCAAGTCCAATAAAGTATGCAACATCAAGGTGTCCATTGCGAACATAGGGAGATATTCCTATTGCTCTGTTAACCTTCTCATCAGCGCCCTCTGAAGCATTTCTGCACTTTATTGGCTTTGATTAGGAGTAAAGAAACCAAATAATATAGTTATACAGGCTTATCTTAATATTTAATCAATAAGAAAGTGAATTATTTTACTAAATAGATCATTAATTTTTCAATTTATTTTCATATTCACTGCCAAGTGATGGGCTACTGTTTCCAAATTCCATGTTGCCATTGTTTCCAAATTCAGTATCCAACTATTTATGCCTTTAAGAACTAACCAGTGTGATTTTTTTTCTTAAATATATTGGTTTGTGTTGGAGTCAACCACTAATTATTATATTTTGAGTCTGCGCTTTGAACTTAGAATTTGGTTAGAATTACTGAAAGAAATCTACATTTGAATGTCATGAGAAGAGAAAACCCAAAACATTACAATTTTTTCTCTATTAATAGTAGGGGATAGGAAAGGTAGCAGAATACAACAGTCACTAATATGGCATTATGTAAAAATGTGGATGTGTAACCGATGTGATTCTGCAACTTGTATTTGGGGTAAAAATGGGAGTTCATAACCCACTTGAATCAAATGCATGAAAGATGATATGTCATGAGCTTTGTAATGTTTTGAACAACCAATAAAAACAATAATTAATTATTTTTGATTGACAATATTCATCCATATTTATGAGTACCATAGAATATTCATTATACACTTGCTTATTAAACATACATTTCTTTACATATAATGTTGAGGTTTGGCCAATTGTGTTTATATTTGAAATGCACTTACTTTAAAACTTCAATTGTTAGGTGGAATGGATATAAAACATTATATTTTCCCCCTTGTTACCCTGGATGGCAAAAGTCATTATCTTCCTTCCATGTGAAAATATAATACCAGGAGACATGGGGTGCCTCATGTTTGGAATGATCAAATAAATGAAAGAATGGATATGTTTGTGGTCAAAAATGCTACATAAGTGACTGGACAGGTTTGGTAGTTTATACTGGTGGCTGTGAAATGCAGGAAGACTTTACTGGTCTGGATGGAGGCATATAATACCCCAAGAGCTGGAGTTAAATTGTAAATGCTGACTCATCATTTGGAAAGTTTTTAGTGCAAAAGCTACATATTCCTTTTTATGTCCTTTTAATGGTACCATAGTAATTGTCTATCAAACAGATAATCCGTCCTTTCAATGATGGCTATTAGCTTTTACATAAAACATTAGCATGTCATCAAAGGAAAGGGCATTTAAAAATAGATTTTGTATGCTGCTTAATGAGCAATTAAACCTCCTTTGACAGGTTCTGCCAATATCACCCAAACCTACCTAGAAGTATTTGTTTTAAACACTGAACTCTTGCCTTGAAGGATTTTAAAATGCAGACTCAAGTGATTTATTTTCTGCAGATCACTACAACATCCTGCTAAAAGTGAATCATGCTTTAATAAGTTAGGCCACATTATGTGTAAAACAATGATAATAAATAAATATTTAGACTTCACATGCCTCAAATGCTAATTAGTGTTGAAAGTATTTATCATATATGTATATGTATGTATACATAAAAATTTTTGTCATATATGTATATGTATATATACACAAAAGAAAATTTAAAGCCTGAATACTTTAAAGTTTTGTTTTATATTTTTTTTCCTGCCTATAGATAGCTAGAATAAATTACTAGTTAATGTCCTCTATTCCCATGTTTTGGAGCAATATCAAATAAATATTGTCCACCCAATTTTTCATGAAACATCAATTTCAACATTAGCAAGAGTCCAACATTTCTGGTCTTTATGATGGGCATTTTACTTATTATCAAAGTCAGGATGTTTTTGAAAGTGAAATGTCTTATGAGAAAAACTTTATTTTTTTTAAAGATAATAAAGATTATTATAACCTTTCAGATTTGAAATGTGAATAAAGTGGGTTATACTGAATTCTATGATTGTTAAGGAAATATTTAAATTCACATAATTTATATTTTTGGAATGGCACATATAAAATTCACCTTTATAATTTTATCATCAATATGGCACAAGTATATCATAATAAGTGGCCATAAGAAAAACGTTTAAATTCAATTAATGTAAAATGCATGTAAATTTAAATTCAATTCCTTCTTAGGAAAAAAAAGTTATTTCTTGAAATTTATCACATTTGAAAATTAGATTTTAAGAATCTATGCCTTCAGACACATGTGCTGAAAATAAATTAGACTTGGATAAATTGTTTTTCCTATTCTCTCTAAATGTTTTGCTTTCTTACACAGTCTAATTTGTTTGACTTGAATTATACTATCTCAGATTATAAAAAGTTGAGGTGTCAAAAAAAAAAAAAACCACAAAAATAATAACAATGACCTAGTTTCCAGATAGTTATAGACAGGAAAACAGAAATAATTGAGGAATACTTTGCACAGTTAAGGTAACAAGTAGGAAAATACTGTCTCTTTTCAGAATTTCATTTGGAGGTTCTAGGTTGTAAAGTAATTGCTTCTCAAATATAAATCCACTGAGGATAGGCCAGTCAGGACTTGTGAATAAATAATAGTCTTCACACTGATAAAATCAGATCTCCCTTGAAAGGTGGAAACAGGAGAACCAATGAAACTAATATTTTCATCATGAATTTGACCAATAAATTCTCTAATTCACCTTATATCTCTTTGATTATTACTAAAATCACAGACTTAGAGTACAGATAAAAATCTTTCTTTAATCTATGCTGCTTTATACAAATAAACACCTCAAAAAATTTATCTGAGATTAATTCAAGTATACTCATATTAAAACTGCAAGTTAAAATAGCTTTCCTATTGAAAAATTTATATTTTCATTCTAAAAGAAGTCTGTTAACCTTTATAACACAGAATTTCACATCAAGATATTACATACTAAAATAAATGAGTTATTTTGAAATATGCAGTATGAATTCAGCAAATAGTAAAATAAAAAACTATAGCACATGTGTTTAATTTAGGGTTCTGTAATAAATGCAAGCTTTAATCATGAAATGCTCTTGCCACAGGTTGCTGACTTCCTTATTACGTACATGATAGCAAATTACTCTCATATAAAAAAATTACCTCTCCTTTATGCTTTTGTGTTTGATTCCTCCCATAATCACCAGAGATTAAAGCATTCTATGTGATATGTGACAATACCATTCAGTAAAGCTTTCTTGTAATGTTAAAGTTAGTGTTTGTATGAGACTTGTTCAATCTTCTGTGAAACTCTTGGTTGATAATAAAATGCACATAATCAACAGTGACAGAGCTACACTTTCCTTACACAAGATTGTTCTCAGTAATGGCAGAATAAGTCTCATGTGTTGAGAAATTCTGTTATTGATGCTATCACGAATGTTTTCAATCTTCAAAAACATTTACGTAGCTTTATATAGGTTAGGATTTATTAATATTGCCACAAAAATGTAATTTAAGTGCAACTCCACATGCATAATAATTATTAGTATGTGTGTATACTGTTATTATAATTTTCTGTGTCAGAACTAATTAGTAAAGGCAATTTCCAAAGACTTCTAAAAACCATGCCTTTTAATTGAAGCACTCAGTGCAGGTTGATATCCTGTGTCACCTACTTAACAATAAGTTTCTACTTATTGTTTGAATAGGTATAGCCAAATATCAAGCTAAACTTAAATTCACAAGGACTTTTTATGACAGATAGTTATAATGATTCAGAAGCTAGCTACACAAAAATAACCAATATTTTTAATTTCAATTGTAAAAAAAAGTGTCTCTGAAGAGTAATACAGCCAACTGATACTAGTAATCATTGTAAAAATATTACTCAAAATTATTATACAATTATATTTTATGTTTATTATTGGAACAAGTAAGACAATTGATAAGTTAGTCTTATCGCAATGTGATTCTGAGACCACAGTCATCTAATTATACTTTTCTAATGAAACAGGTTAGATACACATTGATTTAAGATAATCTTTGGGCTGGTAGAGTCCAGTCATTTAGCTCTCCCTATTTCCTAAAAGCTCAGGGATCTGTGGCCAAACAATACTGACTCCACTGAGGGATGCACACTGACCTGTAGACTCCTTGATAACCAAGTAAAGGTTTTTCTACTCTTTGTTTATTCCTCCTGATGAGATTCAAGGATCTGGCCAATTTCAATTTTTAAGTTTCCAACAACTATACAAATACGATCAGAGGATGATGTTCTAAAGTAGAACAACAGGAATTAAAGATGAAGTAAGGACAAAGCTATTTAATGTACACATATCTATCCTGGGTTCTTTATTCCCATGATCATCTAAATTCATTAATTTAATATTTTTCTGTATACTATTATACATATAGCTTATGCTTAATTTTCTGGTACGATACTTTTGCCTTTAAACATTATTACAATTGTTGTAGTTTTACTTATTCTTTTTTCTATATCTATCATCCCTCATTTCCTCATAAATTCTTAGTAGTAACATTTTAGTGCAGTACAATGTTTAAAAATAACTGTGATAGGAGGCATCACTTTTTAAAATTATTTCAGAAGCAATGTGCTAGCACTTTCCAATTAAATATGACTCAGTCCAAGTTTAAAAAATGTTCACGTTCAGATTTATACAGTACCTTTTATTTCCAATTTTCTAAAGTTTTATTACAAATAAAAGTCACAATTTTTCAGATGACTTTATGTTTCTAATGTAATATTTTACATGTTCCTTCTTTATTTTATTAATGCTAAAATGTATATTGATTGCTTTTCTACTGGTAAAACAACCATGTGTTTAATGATCCGATTTCATTAAAATTTTATATTCTCTATTGAATTATCACTTCATTTGTGTGGAATAATAGTTGTAAATTTTTTTAGAATCCTAATTAGGATCCCTTTCAACAGTTATCTAGATTAATTTTTTTAAGGATTCACACAGATTCTATAATGTATATGAAATACAAATGTATGTGATATAAATACTCTTCAGTACAGCATAGCAATATCAGAATATAAATGTACCTACACATGAAATGTGCTAATATGTATTGCCATCGAAAAAATATCCTATTTTTGTGAAGGTCTTGTAAATATCTCATAACATGAGATATTTAGTTGTCATTTGAATTTAAAAAATCACAATGCATTTTTGGATAGAAATAATATTTTTTAAACAATGTCATAAGTAGGTATACATGAGCATGTAATAGCAATGGTTCTTATGTAGAACAGTTCCTGAAATATTTTACAGAACAATTACAATTCATAGTGATGATTGGGGTATTATTAGGGAACAGATGATCAGGATATAGAGCCACATTTCTTATAAACCTACTGGCAGAGATTCTAGTTGGAAATAATGATCCCAACATAAAAAGAAGTAGTTACGAAAGCCCAGAAACCTTGGGGTACATGAAAAAAGCATTGTGGAGGTCTTCAAGAGTCAAGCTTGAAGCATCTCTAATATTACTGACCAAGAAAGGAAGGATGTCATGCATTCTTATAGAAATTAGTGTTGTAATTAATCATTTATTTGTCTCATCCACATCTAAGATTTAAGATTAAGAGAATCTTTGGTCTGGTAGAGTCCAGTTAAAAGAACTAATACAAACAAACATCTAACTAGCTTAATTAATGTGCATGTAACTGAAAATATGAGAAAGAAGGGATTAGGAGACCATGGATATTTTATATTGAAAGACATGTTGTTAGTCTCCTACTGATTGTTCTCATTCTTGTGTGGACTGAACAACTAATTCCTAACTATATGCAAAATAGGAATGTATAAAATGTTATCAAGTGATTTTATATTTCTGAAATATTTTGATGTTTATGTGTTATTGATGACCTTTTTTATTTTTGTTGGTGCTTTATAATTATAGATAATAGTGAATTTCATTATGCCCTCTTCACACATGCATCTCATTCCCCCATATCTTCCCTTTTCTTCTCCTCTTCCATCACCAAGATATGCTTGTTTCTACTCTGTTGATTTATCTTATAGCATTATTATCATTATTATTATTATTTTTAAATTAGTGCCTTATAACTGTATATTTAAGTGGGATTATTGTGGTATATTCATAATTCATATATGACAATTTGGTAGATTTAATTCCTCAGTACTCCCCTATACTTTCCCCTCCTCCCTCCCTCTCAATCTCTTTCCTCAACTTTTTGGTCTTTCTTCTAATTTCATGAGATCCCTCTGCTTTATTTCTTCCTTCTCTCTCTCTCTCTCTCTCTCTCTCTCTCTCTCTCTCTCTCTCTCT